TGCAGGCGAACCACAGTTGTAGCCACAGCTGCCCTGGGGCAGACTGACAGAAGCGAGGCTGCCATATTGCGCCATCGGCCCCTCTGGCCATCACTAGTAGGCAGTAGAGTGAAGTGTCTTGCCCAAGGACACAACGACCAGGACAGACAGAGCTGGTGATCGAACCGGCAACCTTCCGGTTACAAAATGAGATCCCCAACCCCCTGAACCACGTTCGCCCCAAATAGAATCGAATGTTGTCAATATTTGTGCATTACTAAATCTGAAAAAAGAAAGAAAAATGGTCTTAATAACGAAAGTGAATCTTTAACTTGCTATGTGTTTAATGATAGAGCTATGAAGAAGTTATCGAATCAAGCAAAGAATCAGTTTATTGCCAGCACTGGGAAAGCTCATGAACCCTGCGAGGGCTGAATAAGAACAATAACACGATTCGTACAGTAGGTAGACTGTGGCTCCCTGGTAACTGTATTATCCAGACTTTCCATTTGCATCCATCTCCTCCACTGTCATTCAGTGAAAGAGATGGATGCCACCAGCTTGCTTATTGCATAATCATGAGGGTACAGAACAGATGCAGTTACATTTTACGCTGTTTGCTATCTGTTTTTTCCCACCTTATGAAAAACAGGTAATTTCTTTATCCACATCAGCTCTCCTCTTGCAGCTCGGAGAGTGAGTTTTTTTTTAACTTTTATAATCAGAGGCAGAAGGCGATGCTTTTAACACAATCACCCTTTGTCTTTTTCTTTCAGTGGTTACAATTGCTGCAGTTTCAATCAACTCTGCAGACACTTACAAATTGAAGCCCTCCATGAGTTCATTCATAAAGGGTAATTTAGTGCCAATGTACAGACCGAGCATCGCCGTACTGATGAGCAAAACAAGTATAGAGTGCCGCAGGTCATTGGTGTAGTGTTTTTTTTCTATCAGTTGGATAAACACAACAAATCTGAGAGACATACGTTGCACAATGGGTAACAGGAAATTGCATCTGTGATTGGTGAGGATGCCGGCCGAGGAGTCAATGATCTTTGTGTAAGGGGAGACAATTTACAAAGAGAATGGACACTTTGTGTTTTCTGGGTTTCACAATGCCAGAGCTTGTATCCAGCTTTTGATACTCTCTCTCTTTTGTGTGATAAGTATAGGCTCCAGTGTTTGCCTGGGAGAGAGAGAGTGCAATAACATTTTAATTGCCACACCAACACCTGCACCATTCTTATCTTCAGGTGCATTACAGATTTATTTTGGTAATACAGCTAAACCGGTGCATTGGTTTTTCAAATCATTTATAAGGACTCTACTGGGTATTTCACTTTCTTCACTATTATTCATCACTTTGCAATAATAAGGGAATAATTATAATGTTATATAAAGTATCTTTTTGTCTAGGCAGCTCTGCTGGAGAGAAAATAAAATGTCATTAAACCAGTGAATATACATGAAGATGCTCAGCTCTGATTCATTTACACTGTTGTCAAACTTTTCAGCGTTTTACTCTTTAACATAAACAACTTTGTTAACTGGGGAAGTAAGAGCACTGTCTCGACTTTCAGCTTTTTAGATGTCACCCATGTACTCTTCAAACTGGGGACAATATAACGAGTAATTGCTATTGGCACAGCAAACAGGTGCAAAGAGAGCAGATTATTTCCTTCATATTGTGCTTGGCTCAACACAGCCAGACAGCTGCCTGGCGCCTCACCGAATAGGAGGTCGGAGTTAATTAAAAAAGGTTTTGTTCCACAGACATTTGCCTTGCTTTGCTTGCCGTGTGCTCCCCGAGGCTGTGTTTTGAGATGCGTTTGAGACCTCGGGGACTCGTCTAATCAAAACACACAGACTGCTAGCCACCTAATCCGCTGGATTCACGATAACAAGGTGCTGTATGAGACACTGCTCCTTGGTGTTGCAGATAATTTGGCGATTACAAATAGTCTACCGGTGGTGTAGGCTTCTATCATCTAGTGCCACAGCAAAAAAGGTCAATAACAAAACTCTTTACAAAACTAAGGTGTGGATGTTATACTGCATATCCATTGCAGGTAATCATTATTGCCTCAACCTGCAAGCTGTGGTTGTTTCTGTTATATAATTCATTTTAACTTTGGCACTGCTCTAAACTAAGCGTGGTAGGTGATACGATATCATAGGTTTTCATCTCTTACTGGCCAAGTCCACTATAATATAACTCACTTCTTTAAGCTGATCTTTTGTTAAACACAAATGTTCACACATGACAGTATCTTAACTTTGGAAATGTATGTAGGACTTAATTTAAATTATACTGACTGAAATTAACAAACATGACCTGACAGTGTTGTTCTCAGAGGCTTAGGTTAGTAAATGATTGCTTTGAACGTCTATGGCTGAAGTACACTATATAACAAAGTAAATCAAGCCTTTTTACATGGGTTTTCAAAAACAGTTGTATCTGTCTAAGTTGTACAGTATTCGCTTATGTTGAAATACCAATGTCTGTCAAAACTAAATATACTCTTATTGCTTCCATAGGAGTTAAGAGGATAAGTAGCAGCCTGGTGCTAATCAAATGCGTTTAGTTAACTGACCTCGAGCAAGTGTGAGCACATCTATAAATGTTTTGACAATATGTTGGTCTGGATCATTCAGACCACAATCTTCCTAGAAGTGGACGTTCCATCAGGTTCCCTTAGACACTACGAGCCTCTGTTAGCATTTTAAGTGCTACAGTTCAACACTGTACGATTAGAGGAAGTCTGAACAAGTATTGCTCACTTGGAAGGTTTGCCAGGAGAAAACATAATCTCTTTACAACGAACACAATGGCAAAGATTTGTAAAGTTGGATGTAAATAGATCAGAGGACTTGCTTCTGAGACTGAAGTGGAGATGCTTGGCTATAACGCACAGCATTCAATTCAATTCAATTTTATTTATATAGCGCCAAATCACAACAAAAGTCGCCTCAAGGCGCTTCATAGATACAGAGAAAAACCCAACAATCATATGACCCCCTATGAGCAGCACTTTGGCGACAGTGGGAAGGAAGAACTCCCTTTTAACAGGAAGAAACCTCCAGCAGAACCAGGCTCAGGGAGGGGCGGGGCCATCTGCTGTGATTGGTTGGGGTGAGAGAAGGAAGACAGGATAAAGACATGCTGTGGAAGAGAGACAGAGGTTAATAACAGATATGATTCAATGCAGAGAGGTCTATTAACACACAGTGAGTAAGAAAGGTGACTGGAAAGGAAAAACTCAATGCATCATGGGAATCCCCGGCAGCCTACGTCTATTGCAGCATAACTAAGGGAGGATTCAGGGTCACCTGGTCCAGCCCTAACTATATGCTTTAGCAAAAAGGAAAGTTTGAAGCCTAAAAGTAGAGATAGTGTCTGTCTCCTGAATCCAAACTGGAAGCTGGTTCCACAGAAGAGGGGCCTGAAAACTGAAGGCTCTGCCTCCCATTCTACTTTTAAATACTCTAGGAACAACAAGTAGGCCTGCAGAGCAAGAGCGAAGTGCTCTAATAGGGTGATATGGTACTACAAGGTCATTAAGATAAGATGGGGCCTGATTATTTAAGACCTTGTATGTGAGGAGCAGGATTTTGAATTCAATTCTGGATTTAACA